CGTGTTCTCAAGACGAACGCACTGTTGTTGACGTGTTCTCAAGACGAGCGCACTCTTGTTGACGTGTTCTCAAGACGAACGCACTGTTGTTGACGTGTTCTCAAAACGAACGCACTGTTGTTGACGTGTTCTCAAGACGAACGCACTGTTGTTGACGTGTTCTCAAGACGAACACACTGTTGTTGACGTGTTCTCAAGACGAGCGCACTGTTGTTGACGTGTTCTCAAGACGAACACACTGTTGTTGACGTGCAGCCACAAGTTAAAATCTTCACCAGGTTCCATTCAAATAAAGTTTTTACTCCTTTTAGGTTTTAAAATGGGAAGTTTGCCTGTGAAATCTGCACTCAGATCTCCAACTCAGGAGTCCATCATCTCCTCGAGTGTTTTCGATGATTCTAGAAATCCATCAGGTGAGGCTCCACCCATTTTAGAAAACATATCTAAGATGAATAATCAGCCACGTCCTTTTCCATATGTATTAAACATGTGAAGAGTTTCAGAAGAGCTGCCCTTAAACAACAATCTAATCCTGTTCTCTTCCTCTTAGCTGCTAAAAAGGGAAAGTATTTGTCTCCCAACACCTTCAGGCCTGAAAGGAGGTCCTCAGTAAGTTCCCTCCATCAAGAGATTAATTAAGTTCTTCAAATGTTCTTCCATCACATTTCCAGAGTAAAATGATGTTGCTCTTCTCAATAGTCTGAATTAAAAATATAAATCTTGTTTTTTACATCAGGTGAAGTCTCATGGTGTCCAGGTGGAGCAGATCGAGGAGGAGCTGGAGGATATTGAGCTGAAACTTGGTCAACTGGAGAGGGAGGGGGTCGAGCTGGAAAAGAAACTGCGCAGCTGTGAGGACAGTAGGTTTCACCTGATACCCCCCCCCCCCCCCCCCCGCTGGATTCTTCCACTTCGTGTTGTTTGAACTCCCCAAATTATTCTTTGTTGAACAGTTTAATAGTAGAGGCTGATTTTTATTTAATTTTTTTCTTAGACAAAACTTCTTGTAACTTCCAAATATTAGACTAACACAACCGGAGCCGTCAGTTGAATTGAATTTAAATTTCTTACCTGTTTGTTTCTTGTGTCCACTCTTGGTCAAGTGTTTGGCTCCAAAGTCCCTCATGATCCAAAAATGTGCTCACTCGAGCCCAAAGCTCAGTCCAGTTCTCACTTGCTGCTCGGCTGCAGCAAATAATGTCCACGCAAATTTAATTATAATCATATGGACTTCAGAGGTTCACAGAGGGGGGGGGGGGGGGGTGCTGGGTAAATTACCTGCCATTTGTTACAGCTACTGCTGCCAAATGAGGTGAGAGGCACAGAGGTGTCGCCTCCTTTGTGCTAGTAGAAGGAAGACTGATTGCTTTGCTCAAGGTCAACGTGTCTTGGGTACACTAATGTATATTCTGGTGGATGGATATATATATATATATAT